AGAAGTTATTGATTTCCCCTATAAGACCCTGAAAATTCACAGAGAAAAAGAGTGTAAACTTTTTACTCAATACATACACCAAGTCTAAATTAGCACAAATTCTGTATTAAGGCACAAGTTTAAGCTTTCCCAAAATACGCCAACTCCCAAAACCAAGCACACAGATTCTGTCTGACCAGACTGCCGAGTGCACGTCCCCTCGAGACATTTCCCACCAGGCATCGCGGAGAGCTCCGTGCGGAGGCCTGGAGCAGCAGCATGCAGGCAGAAGCCCTCTCCCCTCAGGGGTTCTGCGCACCACACCAGCCGGCGCAGGAGCGGCCCATGCACGGTCTCGTCAAACACCGAGGTCAGGCCCTCTGGAGACCACCACGCCTCAGTCACGCCTCAGACACCGCTGCGAACACCTCAGAGCCTCCTCCACGCTCCGCTCATGAGAGAAGACAGACAAGGCCCAGCACGTGGGGTGCAGGGAAGCGGGCTGCTGCGGAGGCCCACTCACCTGCTATAGGCAGGGATCTCCAAGCCCAGCTCGGCCATGAGGAGCCGCATGACGTCATCACACTTCCCATGTAGCTTCAGGGCGGCCCAGTCATCCTTCGGGGTCCACTGAGGACGAGGAAAGCCGAGTGAGGGTAAAAGCAGCCCAGCCCTTCGCAGTGGCCTGTCAGCCTCGGCCCCTATGGCCTTGGTGGTTGCCCCCTGAACACCCACGGGGGGCCCTATCAGACTGCCCTGGTGCATGGGTGTCAGGTGTCTCTGGCTCTGTATTCTAAGGCCCAGGTCTGAGGACGTGGCTCTCAGCACCCGAGTTACCTGCAGGTTCACGATGTAGAGCTTGGGCCGCCGGCTAGGAGGCTTCGTCATGCACCAGAGGCGGGGGTACTTCTTTAGAACCTGTGGGAACAGACGGACAGACACGGCACACACAAGGGACAAGGCTGTAGAGCGCCGGGCTGCAGAGCTGGACGCCCTTGGGCAGGTGGGGGCTCGGCTCATTCCTGGTGTCGTTGGCACGCACCTTCAGGCTGGACCCCAGACACAGGATGGTGTCTGCTCTGCTGGCAGCCTCCGTTGCCGCCTCCCAGTTCAGAGGCTGCCCCAACGTCCCCCTCTCCCCAAAGTGCACAATCGTGTCCCGGAGCTGGGCCCCACACTTGTGGCAGGTCCGGCCTGTCTGATGTCTGTGGAGAGCGGTGCGCTCCGTCACATCGAACACCCGAACGTACTCCCTGTTGGGAACGCAGGAAGTGCAGACCTGAAGAGGAGAGGGCACAGTGAGTGCGACCCGCCTGCCCGTGGAGTTCCCGGGTCCCCTCAGGACTGCTCACTTCAATGTACATGTTCCCGTGGAGCTCTGAGATGGCCGAGCGTGGCAGCCCGCTCCTCAGGTGGAGCCCGTCACAGTTCTGAGACACCACATGCTGCACCTGGAAGGTGGAATGGGAAGGGCTGTCAGAGGGTGGGGAGGTCAGAACAAGGCCACACGGAGGTTGTTCTGAGCCCAGCCAATGGGTCCCAAGACCAGGAGCAACGCCGACCCCACAGAGAGCCTTTGAAAGTACAACACACCATAGGTCCAACCACCAAGACTCAAGAGGGCCTACGGTGGGTGGCGCTGTGCCCTTCCTCCAGCCCTGATGCACCCAGAGTGGCTGGGAGGGCAAGAGGCTGCACCATCCCAGCAAGGTTGGGAAATGGCTCGGGGCTTTGGCAAGGGCCACTCCGCCCTGGATCCATGCTCTCATGGGTCATGATGTTTCAGGTCCCTGCGGACCCAAGCAGATCAACCCCTACCCGCATCTTGGTTGAGGGTGTTCAGCAGAAGGTCCCCAGAGACTTTCTACAAGCCTCCCCTGTGATTAGGATGGCTTCTGAGATCCACAGAAAAATGCAAAGGAATCACAAAGGGGAAAGGCCACCAGCAGCTCTGGGCCCGAGGCTGGCTGTGGATGAGATGGTTCAGAGGGGGCGCTGCCCTTCTGTCTTGGAGAGGAAGCAGGGGAGGATCCAACCCGGGGTCTAACCCACTTGGTGGGTGCTCATCATGGGAGTCAAGCGGCAGACAGAGGTAGGATGCAGTTGCCCACTGGGCACCAAGGTGCTCTGCCAAGTGTATCAGCCGCCCTGGGCTCTTACCAGCTTCTGTTCATGCAAACGGGTGATGCTCATGTGGGTGAGGGTTGGCTCAGCCTCGCTCAGGTCGGCAGCACTGCCAGGTGGAGGGAAGGCAAGGTGAGGGGAGCTGGAGCTCAGGCCCACACTGCCCCTGCTCAGCCCATGTGGGAGGCCACACTTGGCCCACTTACCTAACACTTCTCCCTTTTTGAAGCAGCGTCCACACTCCATTAGGGCCCCTGTAGTCTGGGATAGAGGCTGCCTGCATGTCAAGAAAAAAGGCAAGCCAAGTAAAAGGCACGACCACGGGTACTGGCAGGATTCCCAGGAACGGGGAGCCATCGTCCCTCCTGCTGCGTCCGGGTGGCCTGCACGTTGGCCTCTATTCATTCCACAGGCTGACCTGCCTGAGCCCATATGGTGTGTACCGCAATTCGGCCCCTCCCTTCTACCTGGACTTCCGTTTCCCACCTGGCCTGGCTCATCCTTCCAGGCTAAACACAGTCGCCCTCTGGCAGCCTCTCTGGCACCAAGCACAAAGCTGGGCTCTGTGGCACATGCGTCCTCCGCATGGCAGGAGAAGACGAGTCATGTTCCTAAGCGTCCCCAGGGCCGAGCCCACAGCTCACACATTTAGCAAACGGTGAATCCCTAGGTGGGGGCAGGCAAATGTCCATTCTCATATCCTGATGCTAAGGGTTCCTGCTCCATCTTAACAAAGGCAGAACCACCTCTCCAGATGAGATAAACATCTAACTTCCCAGGTTTCCAATCCTGTGAAACAAACTTGAGGCCCAGAGAAGGACTGAGAAGACATGCCAGGATAAAGGTGTCTTGTGTTTCCTACTGGGGAAGTCATCTCCCACCTCCTGCTTAAACTCGGAAACACGAACCCGCCCTGGACAGCAGTATTCAGACAGTCACATTCAAGAGGGAAACCTCAAACAGTAACATGAAATCCACAAGCTGCATGTGCTCTCAGTTGCCACTGGAAGCTCTAAGAGGTCACATGATTGCTATATAATTATATGACTGGACTTTTTTTTTTTTTTTTTTTTTTAAAGATGGAATTTTGCTCTTTCGAGCAGGCTGGAATGCAGTAGCGAGATCTCGGTTCACTGTAACCGCCACCTTCCGGTTTCAAGTGATTCTTCTGCCTCAGCCTCCCAAGTAGCTGGTATTACAAGCACCTGCCACCATGCCTGGCTAATTTTTGTATTTTTAGTAGAGACAGGGTTTCACCATGTTGGCCATGCTGGTCTCGAACTACTGACCTCGTGATCCGCCCGCCTCAGCCTCCCAAAGTGCTGGGATCACAGGCGTAAGCCACTGCGCCCAGCATGAATGGACTTTCACATGTGACTGTGGAGGTAGGAGACTCAAACCCGAAGGGCTCCAAGTATTTAAGTCAACAGTGAACTCCTTTTCTGCATTCTTGCTGCTGAGCCTCTATTATTCTTTGCTTGGAGTGCCTCATTCCCACCTTTTCTTCTTCAAGACCCAACTCATGGCCACCTCCCACAAAAAGCCAACCCAGGTGGGTTTCCCAACTCCATGAAGACAGTGTGTGTGTCTGGGTTTGTTCTAGTGACCCAGCACAGTCAGCTTTACCTTACAGTTGTTTGTTCACATGCCTGATTCTTGTCATCTAAAGGCTTCCTGAGAACAGAAATCACCTGGCATTCAGATCTGCTATGCCCAGGCGTGCCTAGCATTCCACACTCACCCATCAGACTCGATGGACAAGGTGCCAGCTACATTTTCGAAGCCAGTGATGTCTCACAGCCCAGGAGAGCTTGTCAGTGAAACTTCTCAAAACACATCGCAATTCTCTCCTTTACCTGGTATATTCCGGCTCTGACTGTGTCACTTTCCATTTATCTTCCCTCAACATGGAGAGAACAGAGTGGAGAATCACAGGACAATTTTGGGCTTAGCTCTGTCCACACAACCTGGGGGTGCCCGAGAGCAGCTGGCTACTACATCCCATTCGTATCTCCTTTTTTTGTTTTTAACTGGCTTTAACAGAGGCCAAGCGTTTAACAAGTCTTTGCCTTAGGTAAGTTTTGGTCGTTTCGTGTTTTTCTAAAAAAGGAAAAAACCTCAGAGCTGCTTTAAAGGCGAGTTTTTCGCGATTGGGGAGTTACCCAACTGGAGCGCGTACTCCGTCCTGGGGTCCACCTCCCAGAAGGGGCGCCCCCCGCCAGCCCCCGCCTCCTCCCTACCGTGCTGATTCCCGCGCCCGTGTAAACCACCAAGTATTTGGCGTTCCGGATGGCGCTGGCCAGCTCCCGGACTTTCCCCCGCAGCTCCTCCGGGTCGTCGCACACCTGTCGAGACGCCAGGGTGGTCACCGCCCCGGGTCGCTCCACCCTGGGCCGCCCGTCGCCCCGGCTGCTCCCGAAACCCGAGGCGCCCGCGGCCGCCGCGCGCCGAACTCGCCTCCTCCTGCCGCCGCTTTAAGCCCTCGCGCCGCCGGCTCCGGCCCTGCAACTCCGTCACCAGCTCCCCGCTCTCGGCCAGCAGCCGGACCTCCTCGGCGCTGCGCTCCACCGCCGCCTTCCTCAGGATGCGCGACACCTGCGGACGGGCGGGCGGTGAGCGGCAGCGGGGGCCGGGCATGGCTGGGCCAGGGAGCGGCGGCTGCGTACCTGGCGGAGGCGATCCCGCTGCTGCTCCTCCCGCAGCCTCCGCACCCGCTCCGCCGCTTTGCGCTCGGAGCGGCTCAGACCTCCGGCTGCCATGGCTCCCCGGGAGACCCGCGCTTCCGCTTCCGCCTCGCAGGGCAGGCCGCACCCAGGGCGCATGCGTGAGCCGGGCTCCCACCCCCCCCACCTCTTCCGGCCCCGCCCATCGCGTCACTCCAAAGAAGCACCTGTCAGTCTCTTTAAAAGGTTTATTGATCATATACAAAATAAAGAAAACCTTATATATCACAAACATACACTATGTACAGCAATAAATACCCGGGGGGCCAGGCCCAGTGCTGCCCCTCCTGGACAATAATTTAGCAATAAATACTGCGCAGGGCAGGGGTGGGCACTAAGGCCACTGCCCTGCGGGAGGTCAGGCCCCCGCCCGCCCTACACGAAGTGTGAGCTCTCGGGCCTCACCCCGCATCCAAACCCCAGCCCCTCCTCACTTGGATCTTTAATAACCTCCATTCCACCCCAGCAGATCCCGAGGTCGTCTCCCACACACAGCCTACCCTGGCTAGACCTAGGCAGGGCAGGCAGGGACTGACCAACTCTGCTCGGACCCACCTCTCAGCGCCAGGAGAGCAACAGGGCTGGACACGCGGGCAGCCCTTGTCCTGTTGCCCTAAGTTGCCAGGAGAAGGCTTTCTGAACCCACTCCTGTTTGGTTAAAGGCTTCAGGGACTAGCAGATTGAGGGGATGGGAAGAAGGGCAGGGCTGGGACACAGGTTGCTGGAGGGGCCAAAGCCCAACTGGGGTCACCAAGAACAGGGAGATCTCACAGTCTATAGGGGACACACTCTCACACTGTATCTCAGACTCAAGGGACACCCATGGTATCAAAGCTGCTGCTCCAGGGGCGGGGTGGAAATGTGTGGGACTGGTCTGGCAGGTGCGGCACACGCCCAGGACACAGGCCAGAGGCAGACCAGGAATGGGTCTCTCAGACACACCCTGCCTCTGTGTGGCACTGATTATGCACTCCACTCTCCCCACCTGCTCCAAGGCCAGACAGCCAACAGGAAGGCAAAAATATGCCAAAAGAATTATTCAGTGGCTTCTCGGGGGGGGGGGGGGGGGAATCGTTAATGTGTTGGTTCCTTTCACCAAACCACAGCCTAAAAAAGTAACACAAGATCCCAGAGCGGAAAAGGTGTAGCAGGCCGAGGCTCAGACTTTCCAGATGCAGATGGGAGCTTTGGTCAAGTGGCCACTCCAGAGAGGGAGGCAGCAAGGACAACACGGAAACTTACCATCGTCCCAAAGCAGGCGGCAGCTCCTCAGGGCTGCGGGCTGGGCACTGACCACTGAGGCTGCTGCTGCTGCTCAGAAGTGTGCACACGTATCTGAAACACGCACCAAGAGCTGAAGCCCCAGCAACACCAGCACCACCCGGAGCAGCAGCCAGGGCCTCCCTCTCTGGGTGAGAGCTGACCTGTCCCCACCGGGCATTTCTCTGAAATCTGAGTATCCATGTTAGGGTAAGGGAGGAATTGGGGCAAAGTCAAGGTGGAAGGGGAGACACACATCATGGTTTACTTGGCGGACAAGTCTGAGACCCGGCTTTGGCCATAGCCCTCGATTCGCTGTGTCAGAAAAGCTGAGGTGAGAAGAGGAGGCCACCACCCTCTTCTCAGTAGGAAAGCGGGATGAAGGTATCAGAATGACAGCACACTCACATGTGCACATGAACACAGCATCTATGTCAGGAAATCCAGGGAGGGGGAAGAGGGATGGAGTGGCTCCACAGGGCTGGCCCGACAGGAGACAGAACACTCCCCTGGATCTAGGGAAGTTGCTCCAGATCCAAAGCTCTTGAAAGGAGGTATGGCCTCGACACTCCAGAAGCCTCTTCTGCCAACACATCAAGGACCACCCTTCCCTTCAGCCCGTGCCCACCCTCACACCCTCCTCTTCCCCACTCCCTCCGCCTCCAGGTCTGCAGCCTGGCAGAGGGGCTCAAAATGGATGGCCACCCCAGCCAGGACAAAAGTGGGGGCCACACAAGGACAAGGGGGGCCTGCCTGCTCCTCCCTGCTCCAAGGCAGATCATGACGTTTGCTTCATAGATACTTATGATATGATTCCAACTAATGCCTGGATTCTAGTTAGACAAAACTAGACTGAGGGGAGGAGGATGAAGTCACTAAAGGACTAGAGTCGACATTTCCATTTTCAGGCTGGCCCAGGTAGAAACAAGAGTTGTCTCTGAACACCTAGAGCAAAGAGAAGCTCATTAAGACAAATGTTGATGGTACATCCCTGTTCACATCTCACGGGCACACCAGGCCAAACTCTTGGATGAAAATCCCACCACCCACAGGGTTAAGCCCTGTCGGCCACAGTTTTTCACCAGCCCACATTTCTGTGCTTTACAGGGGACTGGGCCCCACAGAGAAGAAACCAGCAACCCTGGTGAAAGGTCAAGGTTCACACGGCCAGACACAGGGCTGCAGCCTCTTGGGGGTGGGTGGGGGCACCCCTCCCCATCATATGCCTACCAGGAGCCTCCTGAGCCCAGCCGGGAAGGGCAGCAGCCTCTGGCGAGGAACTGGGAGCAAGAGGCAGGCTGGGCCCCCAGAGGGAGGCACCCCCAGTGAAGCCAAGCAACTGATCCCTGGAAGACAGATCCCAAAGGGAGGCAGAAGGAAGGCCTGAAGCCAAGAGCTGCCAGGATGGACCAGTGGAGAAGAGGGATAAGACCCGGCCCTGGAGATCGTAGCCCTTGTCTGCACTGGTGGAGACCCCCCACCACTCTGCCTGGAAGCACCCCGCAGCATGGAAACAGTTCAGGGGTCAAGTGGGCGGTGGAACCTGCAGCCCACGGTGCGGACCCCTGGGGTTCCCAGCTGAGGCCCCACGTGAAGAGGCCAGAGGAAGACAGCCAGGGAACGAGTGGCCACAGTCCTGTGGCCACCCACAGTGACTCCTTGGTCCCTGCAATGCCACCACCCAAGGCCAGAGGTGGTGGGTGTGGAAGCAGCGTGGGGGGCCCCAAGGGACCCCCAATGTCACCTACCGCGCCACAGGATCAGCCCCAGCCCTAGACATAGATGTAGCCAAGGTTCAATGGGGTGAGCGTGACAGAGCCCCACATCTCACCTCCTAGGGACCAGGGGCCGGTGGTGGGCACAGACTCCTTGAGCTGTGACGAAGCAGGCACCCCCTGGCACCCCAGCCCAGGTCCAGCAAGCCAGCAGAAGCAAAAGCACAACGAAACCCAAAAAAACACACACGGGAAAACAGACACAAGAAGTGACACCCACAGGTCAAAGGTCACCAGAAGCACCAGCACTTTACCGCTGCACAAAACCTCACCAGGCACGGACACCAGCACGGCACCGGCAAGAGACGGAAGCAGGAGGGCAGAGGAGTAAGTCACTTTCGGTACAATTGCAAAAGATATCAAAGAGGACGGCCTTCGGGTCGGTTCGCCGCTTGGCTTTTTTTTTTTTGTCTTTTTTTAAACTAAGTTTTATAAATAATGTCTGATAACTCTGTGTATATAAAAACTAAACTCCAACAGCCACAAAGAGTTGTCCATAAGTTTACAAGAAAGGGATTTTTTTTTTGTTTTTTGTTTTTTTTCTTTTTTAACTAGCAAAGTTTCTATTATACTTTCTTTTTTTTCCATTGATAGGGTCAAATGGTCTTCTTGCTTGTTTTTTTTTTTTTTTTTTCTAAAAGACAGTTTTATAAATACTCTGCAGCTTTTTTCTTTAACTTTTAAACATATAATTAATAACTTTGTAAAAGGAACTTCTCTCTTTTAAATAAAGGGCTATATAATCACACAAACAGGTCATGTAAACAGTGACACGGGCCCATCGCAGGGAACACTGGACTCACCCTCACGTAAGCGCACAACCAGCGATTTGGTCTTGTTCAGTGCAACGGGTCAGGCTTGAGCGCGCAGGCCCTGGCCCCAGCTGCAGGCCCCAGCACCACTGTGCCCAGGCTGGCGGTCCACCCATCAGGGCCCTCAAGGCCATGCCCTGCTCTCAGAGCACAGCCCGTCTCTTCATGCTGGGCTGAGCTGAGCTGCCCTCCTGGGGCCAAAGAGAGTGAATCCTTCCCAGCCCGGGAGAGCACACGGGAACTCTCGCTGCTCAGGGCACGCGACGCACAGCCTGCCTGCTCCTTCTCTCCCCCTGCACCTCTCTCAAGTCCATTCCCACCGCACCAACTCTGGGCTCCAAGCCTGCACGGCCTTGGTGCAAAAGGGGTTGGGGCGACCCCACGTCACCGCCGAACTGACCAATCCCAACATACGAAACACACGACGACAACGACGAGATCAAAGGGGCTCAGCCTGGTGCCCCTGGGGCACAGGTTGTGCTTTGCAGGGAAGAGAGAAGGGTGGGGAAGAGAGGGAGGAAAGAGAAGGAAACAGGGACAGGGCAGCCGGATTCACCATGTGCCTAGTGGCCCCGCAAAGACCCGCCTGGGCAGATGCGCGTCCCTACGACCGGGCATCCGTCTTGGACTTTACTATTGTGATGACGCTGGTGGCGGCCACCTTGCCTGGGACGAGGGGCCCCAGGCCGGCGGCAAGGGGGCCCCGGGCCGGCGCCACGGGGCTGCGAGCCACCGTCCGGGCGAAGGTCTGCAGCGCCTCATACTTGGAGCGCAGCGCGTCGAGCTCCAGCTTCATGCTGGCATTCTCCGAGGCCAGCTTCTCCACCTCCTGCTGCAGCTCCGCCTTTTGCTTCTCCAGCTCCTCCTTTTGCGTCACCCGCTTCACACGGCAGCTGGCAGCGTAGCCGCGGTTCTTGAGCGTGCGCCGGCGCTGCTTCAGCTGGACAATCTCCTCCTTGGACAGGCCCCGCAGGTGCTGGTTCAGCTCCCGCACCGACATGGTCACCAGCTCCTCATCGGTCAGGCTGGTGCCATTCTCACCTGGCTCCCGCTTCACCTGGGGCACAGCGCACAGGGTCACAGGCCAAGCAGGCATGCCCACGGCGCCACCCCAGCCTGAAGGTTCCCTGTCCCTCCCCACTCACCTTCAAGGCCTTGTTTCCTTTATTGGGGGTCGTCATAACCCGGGGGCACAGCGAGCAGGCGCTCTCTGCAAGACACAGAGCGGAGGTCAGTACCCTGGAGACCAGCCTCACCCCCTACCCCAGTTCACAGAGCCCCTGCCGTACAGCCTGCCCCAGCCTCTGCCCGGGTGCCCAGGCCCAATACCTGATCGGAGGCAGCCCTTGGCCTCTCCCAGGCTGGGCTGAGCTGCTTCCTGTCCACCCTACCCCTAGAGAACCAGGTGGGAGGTCAGGAAGGTCTAATGGGAGAAGGGGAACTGAAGGCTGTTAGAGAGGCAGACGCAAGACAAGGGGCGCGGGAGAGATTAGAAGGAATAAGACTCGGGAGGGGCAGGCCTAGAAGGAAGCCGGGAGCTTTAAAAATAACCCCAGCACTGCCCCGGAGCACGGCTGTTCCTGGCGAGTCACGCTGACTCAGCACATTGCCTCCCTGCTCCCTTGCCGCGCCCGCACTCCCTGGGCCCGCCAGCCAACAGCGCCCCAGGAGAGCTGCAGCCGACCTGCTGGGGGCCACAAAGGCCAGCCTGGCCAATAGCAGGTGAGGGCCAGCCAGAGACCCTGTGCACGAATCCTCCGGGTCCTACCTCCTCCAGCCACCTCCCCTGAGCCGGCCTGGGACAAAGCCCCCTGCTCCCTGGGTGCACCGGGGCCCCACTGGGGACTGGGCCAGAGAGGAGGCTGTAGGGAGCCCCGATTCTCCCAGAGTCTCCTAACTTTGAGTAGCTGGGCGGGGAGTGGGGGTGTCCAGCCAGCTCTGGTCTGTTGGCCGGACTGGCCAGGGAGTTCCCCCACCTTCCAGGTGGCAGGCCATCAGCTGGGAGGAGCTTGGCCCGAGGCCCCTCTGGCCCTCCCAGCCTGCCTCCTCCACTGATGGAGTAACCATCCTGTGGCTTTGGGTTGCAGGAAGCAGCCCCTGCCCCACCCCATCCAGGGTGTTTCACAAGTTCTCCCACAGTGAGCCACCCTGGGGCCTGCCCAACTGGAGGCTGGTGGAGTCAGCCCCTCAGAGTGGCAGCCTGCTCTCTGGCCCCCTGCTCCGAGCCAGTGCCCACAGAGCCAGGGAACAAAAACCAAAGGACTGGGGGGCCAGACTAAAGAACCAACTCATCCACTTGGGGTCCTCCCAGCACGAAGCTCACTTCCTTGCCAAGGACATTTCTGTACACCTCACCCCAGAAAGCCATCTGGGATTCCCAGCTCAGCCCAGCTCCCACCATACCCTTGGGCATGGACCCCTCCGGCCCCACGCTCTATCCCCCACTTTCCGGGTTTGATGCAGACAGATGGGAGTCTCCTCCAGAGGAGCCAGGAGCACTTCAGGAAATTATGGGCTGGGGGATTTCTTACTCTCACCAGTTGCTGAAGTGTGGCCAGGCGAAGGCACACGTATGTCCTCACCAGGGTGGAGACCCCACCTCACCCAGCCTTGGATCAGGAGGTGAGGCTGAACCCACACAGCAGGGAGGGGAGGTCAGAGACCCCTCCCCACAGCCGAGGCAAGGTCCCAAGGCTCTAGCCACCGGATTCTTCCAGATGAAGGGCAGGGAAGACCTGCACTGTAGGTCAGACGGCCCTCAGGAGCTCTTTCCTACAACACCGGCATCACACTGCCCCAGGAGACAGGGCCTCAGCCGAGCACGGCAGGGCCCCCCCCCCCCACCTTGAGTGCAAGTCAGGGTGCAGAGACACTGCCCGGGCCCCAGCTTCTCCTACCCCCATCACCCCCACCCCTGCTGCTAAGCACAATGACAGCAGTGACTTCCTGAAGAGATCACACAGAAAACTGCCTCCTCGACAGATTTTACCCTCTGCAGAAGGCCTGAACTCAGCAGGAGTGCAGCCAATCACCTCCTAATCAAAGGTGTGCCGGGGTGGGGGAGGGGCAGGCCTGAGCACAGCCAGTGTTTCCAGGCTCCTGACCTAGCCTCTGGCAAGCTGGGACGCACACTGAGCAAAGACAGCCTCTGGAGCTGGGCTGAGAGGGACAGAGCAGATGAAGGACTAAGGAGAAGCCGGCCCCAACCCAACCTTCCTCCACCCTGAAGGCTGGCCAGACATCCTCTGCTCCCCCAAAGGCTGAGCCCACCTCACACAGGAGGTACAGGTGGTCATGGCTTCCCAACCCACCAAGGTACCTGGGCCACCCATTTCACACTGAGAGCCAGGAAAGGGAAGGAGGTGTGGGAGCTCCATCTCCCTTTGGCTAAGTGGAAACTCCTGTGCCTGAACAAAGACAGCCCCGCTAGTCTGCAAAGCCCAGCGGCCAAAACTCCCCGGAAGTTGTGGCCTCTGCTGTCATCCCACCCTTAGACCCACCTGCTGCGGGCTCAGCTCCTAGAAAGTCACTCTTTGAACGGAACCTAAAACTTAGTTTTCACTGATGCATAAGTGACCGAGAATATCATAAATGCCCCTCCAGGGCCCTGCATTTTCCCAGGGCGTAAAACTCCAGACCAAAGGTCAGCTGAAATATTGAAACATCTGGAATCTATAAGCCCCAAGGCTCAATGAGAGTGGACATGTACTCTGTGTGGGCATCCCTGAGGAAAAACCACAAAGGGGCCTAACCCAGCCATGAACCCCTGGGCAAAGGAAGGCTACCTTCAAGAATCTCCACATACCCAAGGAAAGGTGGCTCAGGCCACATCACTCCCAGGCTGCCACTTCCCAAACATCCTGGCACAACGTCCTCTGGGCCACCAGGCCAGACGCCCAGCAGGGCTATTCTCTTTGCTAACTTCACACAACACTGAGACCTGACTTCAGGTACGGACAACTCTGGGGTGACTAGGTGCTGCATTCTGCCACCCTATGCCTTCAACACCAGCCCAAGGCTAGGCACCCTTAAGATCCCACTACCCAGTCTCAACCCAGACTCCAAGGCCAACTGGGGAGAAAGGCAGGGCTGCTTCCTCCCCCTTGCCATTTCCTGGTAGACCTGCCCTGCTTCCTCCCTGCCCTGCCCTGCCCACTGTCACCCAGAGCTTGGTACACACACCCCACTTTCTCCCAGGGCCTCGATCTCTGGCCAGGGGCTGTCCGGACAGGCCAGTCCCAGGGAAAGCCGACTTCCCCTTTGGCTAGCACAGCCCACCGAAGCTCCTCCCCTCCCTCACTCAGGGAACTATTTCCCAGTTTGGGAAACTGCTCCAGACTTGGGACCAGGACCAGCTGCCCGAGAAGAGCCGCCTGGGAACGGTGGACGGCCCGGGGCTTCACCTTTGATCCCGGGAGGACACCTGCAGCAAGCCACCCCCACTTCCTCTTCAAGCACTCCTGCCTTCGGAAGGATCGCTCGGCCCTCACTTAAACCGGCACCCCGAGGCGCCGGCCCGGCCCCCTCCCACATCTCCCCGGCTCCCTCCCACCTCCCGCTGGCGGCCTTTGAGTCCCCGAGGCCCGTCGCTCCAATCCCCTCCGGTCTCAGCCTGAGCACCGAGTGACCTCATGCTGATGACTCAGCAAGTCTCCCTCTGGGCTCTGGCACGCGAGTGACGGAGCCCGAGCCCGAGCCGGCGCCGGCAGGGTCTTCCTCGCCGCCCCCCACCGCCGCCGCTCCCCTCCCGGGCCCGCCGCGGACCCCCGCGCCCGGGGAGCGCAGACGCGGCCACCTGATGAATCAGCAGCTACAGACCGGCCGCCGGGCCCTGACGCGGACCCCCGGGCGCCTCGCTCGACCCCACCCTTTCCTCCCAGCGCCTGGCGCCCCTCCCTCCAGGAAGCTCGGGTCTCCGAGTCCGCCCCGCACTCGCCCGGCTCCGCGGGTCCGCCGCCGCCCGCGGCCCACCCCCAGCACCCGGGCGGCAGGGGCGGGAGCTGGCTCCTGACCGCTGGGGAAATCGAGGCACGGGCCGCCAGCAGGGTGCGCGGCAGCCCTGAGACCAGCGGCCCCCGCCTCCGGGCCCCCAGCCGCCGGCCGAGCCGCTGGAGGAGCCCGACCCGCGCGCCCCCTCGGCCCCCGCCGCGCCGCCCCCGCCGCCCGGGCCCGCCGCCGCCGCCGCCGCCGCCGCACTCACCACACTGCGGGCCCGGCGGGCCGAGGCCGGGGCGGGGCGGGGCCGCGCGCGCTCCGAGGCCGCGCGGGGCTGAGACCGGCGAGAGGGGTCCGGGCCCGGGGCTCGGGGGACTCTCCGCCTGCGCGGGCCGGGCCGAGCGCGCTAGGAAGGCCGGGCCGGACCAGGCTCGGGATCCGCCGCCGCCGCCGCCGCTCCACAGACGTCACATGATGTTTGGTCACGTGGGCTCCATTCATGAAGCGGCGACGCGGCCGGCGGGCGCTTAAAGGGGAAGGCGCGGCGGCGGGCGGGCGAGCCGCGCATGCGCAACGCGCTCGCCGTCGCCCCTGGCAACACCTGCTGGCGCGCGCCGGGCGGGGTCTCCCGGGCCGGTTCCCCACCCCCGGCCCCCGGGACCCCGAGCCCGCGCCCGCCTGGCCTGGCTCCTGCGCCGGCCGGCCGGGGCCCCTGCCCCAGCTCGCGGGCGCCGGCGGCGTGGTTCAGCTCGAGTGCGCGAGCGAGGGCGGACTCCGCGTGCGTCCCCTCGAGTGGGGGCCGCGCCTGCCCCGGTCCCGCCCGGCAGAGGCGCTTTTCCGCCGGGGCCCCGCGATTCCGACAGGAGGGTCTGGGAGCGGCGCGGGGCGGGGACGGCCTGGCGACTCACAGCAGCTGGGACCGACTCCAGCCCGCAGCCGCCGACCCCAGGCTTCCCGGGTCCCTCCTGCGCCACGTGTGCCCAGAGCTCCGCGCTGGGTTCGGCCGCTGGGCCAGGGGAGACCTCCCGACTGTGGGAGGTGCCCCGCGGGAGGGGCGACGACTCGGGGAGAAGGGAAACTGAGGGGGACCCCGCTTCTGGACTTTTCCTGCACCCTTTTCCCTTCGCAGCTGTGAAGCCGGGATGGGGAAGGGTGCCCCCGCCCACCGCCAGCAGATGAGCGGTAGGAGGGAGGGGCGGGGACGGGCTGTGGGATCCTCCTGGGCTCCATCCGTCGATCCGTGAATGGTGCAGGTGGATACAGGCCTGTCCCGGAGTCCCGAAGCCGCGCGGTGTAAGGCTCAGAAGCGTCCCCAGGCCTGTCCCTGCCACAGCACGTGGTCGCCGTGTGCGCTGTGGGGCTGCATCTGGTTCTTACGGTTGTGTTCCCAGCCGTTAGGGACCCGTACCCCCTGCTTTGGGCACAGCCCGAGTGTCACAGGCCATAGGGGCATCATATGCTCCCGTTGTGGCCTCGGAGGCCTCGACCTTAGTGTACAAAACAGCACACGGGTCCCTGAGACCGGGAGTGCAGCCCTGTCCCGGGTCCCGTCCTCATCCTCGCACCACACTGGGTTGGCGAGGGGAGGGCGCCTTGAGCCGCTGGCCAACCTGCTCTGCGGGAGCGTGAGGTCGAGCCTTGCTTGGCTGTGAGGGCTGTCCCCGCAGCGGGGACCTGCCCCCCACCCAGACTCCTTCAGGACCCGCCCTCGGTGCCACACAGCGGGAGCTGGAGCCTCAGCGGCGCCCTGAGGAGCCAGGGACGATTGGCCCTGGGGCTGGCAGCCCACACTCCGGGGCTGACGCTCACCAGGCTGTTCCCACTCACGTCTGGCACCCCGACTCCTCCTCACAGGGTCGAGCCCGCTCTCATTTACACATCAGCATGGACTGGGAATGCATTTATGAATCATCCTCACTGGTGCTGTCTTCTCCTAGGAAGGAGCCTCACTCCCCTCGCTGGCCACTGGCAGAGAGAAGGGCGGGATGGTTGGGGGGGAGGACACTTGGGGAGCTGCCCAGGCTCCTTTGCTGCCCATCACCCCAGAATCTTCTTGGGGTGGGTGGGGTCCCAGGTCACCTGCGGAGTCGCAGATGGTGGTTTGTAGAGAAGTTGTTGAGGGAGGGGAGGTGCCAGGGGATACAGCCCAAGCCAAGCCCCCAGGGGCTGTCTCCCTGTACTTCCAGAGAGCCCAAGGCATTCTGTGGTCAGTGAGGGCTGGCGATGGCTCTGCACAAAGATCTCCTCACCTGCCCAGCAGCTCCTGGCCAGCTCCCCACGGAGAGCCTGGACACTTGTCCCTGGAAATAGTGGTGCAGCTGTGTTTGGGCCAAAGTCCATGAGGCCTCTGGAAGAGCGAAAGGCTGCTCTACGAAGAGGGATACTGCAAGACAGGCCTGCGGGTTTCTGAGCATCCCTCTCACACCACACAGTCATCTCCACAACCAGCTGTAAGTGCCGCCTTGCAGGCCTGGCTCCCTGTCTGGACTTTTCTGCACCTCTGCGAGTTCATTTCCTGTTGCAGCTGGAAGCCTCCCTCCCACAGGCACCTCCCCAGCACCCTATGGCTAGGCTGCGCCTTCTGTGGACTGACCTGAGGACTGTGTTGGTTCCTCCTGAGAGCAGCAGGTGCTGGCGTCCACACCCAGAGCGATGGATGGGGTGGGTGGGAGTCCAGTCCTGGTCTCCAGGCAGGTCCCTCCCAGGGTGGACATTTCCCATCTCTGCCTGGTCAGTGGCTGCTGACCCATTCATTCTGGCGCCTGAGCCTGTTGTGCACAAGCACCATGGACAGGGGTCAGCTGGGCACTGGAGAGGCGTGGCAGAATTGGGCAGAGCAAGGGCCCCAGTGGGCAAGCCAGAGTCAGGGCAATTCCAACCAAGAAACCAGCAGGCCGGGTGCGGTGTCTCACACTTGTAATCCCAGCACTTGGGAGGCAGTGGGAGGATCGATTGATCCCAGGGTGGGTCAATGCAAGGTGGTGCATGCCTGTAGTCCCACCTACTCAGGAGGCTGAGGTGGGAGGGTTGCTTGAGCCCAGGGGTTGTATGCAGGCTGCAGTGAGCTGTGGTCATACCACTGCAGTCCAGCCTGGGCGACAAAGACCCTACCTCTTAAAAAAAAAAAAAAAAAAAAAGGTAAAATAAAATAAAAAATCAACTGGGGCAGAAGCTGAACCAAGCAGAGGCGGCAGCTCCTCCGTCAGGGCTTACCTGGCCTGCTGGTGACTCACTCCAAACTGCTTCATTTTGGAGGAGGCTTTCCAGAACTGAGAGCTGCTGGTAACAGGGGCAGGGAAGGCATCATCCAGCCAGCCCGCAGCCCCATGGAGGGCTCCTCTGCCTGGCAGCATTTCCACGCCTCCCAGCAGGATTCATGGGTCCTTGCCCTCCAGAGCCATCATCCTCGACCTGCTGCAGACCCACATGAAACATGTTCCTATCCAGCTTGGGTCTGTCCTCACACTCTCAGTGGCTTCCTGGGTGTCCACCTCCCCACAGCCTGCCTCACGTACCTTCCCAGACTTCTCACTTGTGTCACGAGCCTGTGGACTCTCTCTGGCTCTACCGGAGTCCCTGCCTGTGGTCTCTGCTTAATCAGAAACCACAGCAGGAAGGCTCCTGGGACCCACCTGCTGAAGCAAATGCCTCTGTACACCTCCCCACCTCCCTGTGCTTCATCTGGGGCCCAAGACCTGTCTGCCTCACTTGAAACCCATGTCGCCTGCTGCCTTCCCTCGTGTCCCCGGACCAGAAGCACCTTTGACAGCTCAGCGACCCTCATCTTGCTCTGCGTCAGCAACCTGAGAGTGGGTGCTGGCAGGGAAACTGCCTTTGATGCAATGGAAACAGTCAGGGGCAGCCTTGGTCCTGGGGCAGGCATGTGGCCTGTGGGACAATCTCTTCTGGGGGTACCTCTGCCCGGGTGGGGGGTGCCGGGGTCTTTGCTGGGGCAAGGGTGATTCTGTTGCTCACAGCCCTGACACAGGTACATTCCCCACCCGCCCTGATCCCACATCCACCCACACGGCAGGGGGGCCTTCAGGGGAGCCTGCAGGGACTCCCAGCCCAGCACCAGCCATCTGTGTCCCCAGTCTAGCTCCTGCACTGCCAGATCCCGGCCAGACAGCAGGTGCCCATCTACCATCCCCTTTGTGCCTGAGTGTAGTGGGTGCTCAGTACGGTGGGGAACGGCCGGGACCTGCCACTGTGGCAGTTGTGGTGGAGGGTGCAGCCACGCCGTCTGCCCTGCTGCAAAGTCTTCTCCCTGTTGCCTGCATGTCTTCCCTCCCTCAGAGGGGAAGGGCTGGATTCTGTTCCCCAGGCGCCCCTCCACACACCTCATACATGCCAAGCAGGGTTCTGCAGTGGGTCTGTGGGGTCTCTGGAAATGAGTTCCTGGGATGAAGTTCCCAGAAAGCTGTTCAGCTCTCCTGACACCTACACACCCTGAACCCCCCTGCAGCAGGCCCTGCCCCCAAGCACACCGTGAACCCCCTTGCACACCGTGAACCCCCTTGCACACCCTGACCCCCCTGCATACCCTGGACCCCCATGTACACCTTGACACCCTGTGGCCACCTGGCCCAGGTCCCTTCACACAGTGTGCACTGCCTCTGGAGGGAAGGGGGGCCTCATCCTGCTGTCTCTATGTTGAAGGAACCCAACCCTCAGCAGCTCCTCCAGTCCGGTGGGCCTCCTGGGATGGCTGCCTGTATGTGTTCACTTGACTGGGCCACAGGGTGCCTGGGAGTTTGGTCAAACATTATTCTGTTTCTGGTAGGGGGTTGGTTTTGCATGACACTAACACCTGAATTTGCAGACTTTTGCATTAGGTTACATTGACATTTTAATCAGTAAGGCAGATGCCCCCCAAGGTGTGGGCAGCCCTTAGCTCATCATTGAAGGCTCCCACTATTCCATCCACAGTCGCCACCCTCCCTCCCAGGCAGATCCTCCACTCATGTGTCGGAATGAGGAGTTAGGCCACTGGGGGCTGGAAACCAATTTATAAAACTTAAGGCCGGGGCCGGGCGCAGTGGCTCAAGCTTGTAATCCCACCACTTTGGGAGGCCGAGGCGGGTGGATCATGAGGTTGAGAGATCGAGACCATCCCGGTCAACATGGTGAAACCCCGTCTCTACTAAAAATACAAAACATTAGCTGGGCATGGTGGTGCATGCCTGTAATCCCAGCTACTCAGGAGGCTGAGGCAGGAGAATTGCCTGAACCCAAGAGGCGGAGGTTGCGGTGAGCCAAGATCGTGCCATTGCACTCCAGCCTGGGTAACAAGAGCAAAACTCCGTCTCAAAAAAAAAAAAACAAAAAAAACAAAAAACTTAAAAGGGCCAGAACAGAAGTGATAGCACCCTACCAGGCAGGCAGGCAGGTCAGGAGCTGAAGGCGATGACCACAGGAAGTTCACCAGCACCCCAAGGACCCCTTTCCCCAAATGTCCATGGCATCTGGGTGCATGGCAGCCAAGAGGAGCCACACTGGGTGTGGAATGCTGGGGACCCTCTGGTCCTTCTTACATGGGAAGGAGAGGTTTCTACCTGAGTGGAGAGCAGGGAGTGGGTAGGAGGCAGGGTGGGATCCCACCTCCGCTAAGCCTTCACAGAGGGGGTCCTTGACCTTTGCCCTCAGGAAGGAGCCCATACCAGCTGACACTGGGGTAGGAGTGGGTGAAGACCCTCCGGGCTCCTGAGCTCTAGAGGAAGGTAGTCCTGACATGGTTTGGAAGCAGAGGAGAAAGGAGGTTAAGGTTGGGCAATCCATCCCTGTTCTGGGCTGGGAAGCACTTAGAGATCACAGAAATTTCCAGTGAGAATTGATGAGGCTCCTCCCTAGCTATGTCCCCAGCACTGATCCGGGCCACAGGCAGTGGGCCACTTCGGAGATCCCGTATCCTCTCTAGTGAGGAGAGAAGAGAAAGTGGAGGCAGGATGGTGGGCAGGCAGGACGCATCAATCCTTCTTGCCTGCTGGGGCCAGGCTGTGGGGGAGCAGCTTGGTGTGGCCAGAAGGCGACAGAGAAGCCCCTGCAGGGGAGTCCAGCTTCACCTTGTCCAGGATGGTCTTCTTGATGGCGGCTGGGGACACCTGCTCCTGCTCAGCCATGGCCTGCAGCTCCCTGGAGAGGTGGGAAGGTTAGGTGTGGAGCACAAGTATGCACCCGGGACGTGGGAGCCAAGCCACAGCTCCCAGGGCCAGTCAGGCCTGGGCGAGGCGGTCACCCCCACCTCAGCACCTTCCATTCCCTCTGCCGGTGACCCGCTCCTGCACAGCTGCTCAGTTCCCTCTCACCTCATTCAAGTCAGCCTGGCATCACCAGATCTTCCCACAGTGCCCCCCAGACCGAGCCCTCATGGCCCCACCACGGGATGTGGGTTTACGCCCATCTCCTGTGCAGGCTGGAGGTGAGACCAGGAACCCCGTGTTCCCCTCACTGTCACACGCTGGCACTCAGCAGAGTCTGAGGGTGTCTGGGCTGGAGAGCGGCCAGTGTGGCGAGAAAGATGCCCTCACCCACCCTGCAAACCTGAATTGGGGACAGTGGCTCCCAGCCTGGCCCTGACCAGCTGTGCGATCCCAGGCAAACGGCAAACTCCGTCCCTCTCCTGCTCTTTGCTTCTCTTTCACTTTCCATGGAGTTTTCCTTGTGCCCGGATGCTACTGTGTGTCCGCCTGGTCTAACTGACTTAACCCCCCGTGAGAGAAGGAAGAAGGTGGATCCTGGCCCACAGAGGTTTCCTGGTGTGCCTGGCCACCCTGCCACCCCGCTGGTGCAGCCCTCGGCTGGAATAACCCTCCTGGCTGTGACGACGGTGGAGCTATGTGGGGAGCACAGGGCAGGGCATCTGGGTCCCTCTGTGGACGTCCGTTTCTTGCAAAAAATGGAAGGTGGGGGGCACTGCCCACAATAACCCCCCAGGGAACCTCAGGGCCCCCCGTGTCCTGCCCAACGCCAGGCCAGAGCGCACTACATATCTGCTGAGTGTGTGAATGCGCAGATGTGTGTGAGACGGAGGCCTCTGCCATGCCAGGACGTAACCAGGGATGCAGGCAGATCGGGGGCCCACCGTGTGCGGATGCAGGAGGCTTCCACGGCGTTGATAAGCAGGGAGCGGAAGCCCCCACTTTCCAGCACGTGCAAGGCATGGATGGTGGCCCCACCAGGAGAGCAGACGTGGTCCTTGAGCTGGCCTGGGTGCTGTTCAGAGTGCAGCAGCATCTTGGCAGCCCCCTGCAGCCAGAAGGTTGAAGGCTGTGGGCACCCACCTGTCTCTGTGGGGCACTGCCCCAGCCACTGCAGCACCCTCGGACTCCCCACTCGGCTGCTCCCAGTGCAGCCCCACCACAGGGTCAAAAAACACACTGACCAGGAGGGCCTGGGCCCCGAGGCGGACGGCCAGGCGCCTTGGAAGCCCCATCTTCACGCCCCCATCAGCCAGGGCGTCCAGGGCTGTGAACGCCTGCGGGAAGAAGGCGCCCTGAGCCTCTGTCCTGGGCCTCCCCTCCTCCCGCTGTGGGCAGACTCCAGTTCCCACAGCCTTGGAGCCCTCCACCCTGGTCCTCCCAGGAGAGCAGGGACAGATGCACCCTGTAGTCCTGGGAAGTATCTGCTCCCACCAGCTGCCCCCACAGTCCTCACGTAGGCAGGGCCACTGCCACTGAGCCCCGTGACGGTGTTGATCAGGTCTTCCTCCACCTCTGTGCAGAAGCCCACGCTGCTCAGCAGCTGCTCCAGGAGCCTCCCATCTTCCACCTGGGCGTGTGTGCCTGTGGCGTACACAGTGGCCCCCTCTCGCACCACGACTGGAGTATTGGTCATGCATCGGATGACCCTGGGACCTGGCCGAAATGCTGACAGCTTCTGGAGGAGAAACCAGTGTGTCAGTCTGGCCCTGGACACACTGCCTAGATGCATTTACCCCACCGAGCAGTGCCCGAGTTCTCCCGGTAGGTTGCAGATGAAAACGGAAGCACTGAGGGCCAGGACTCCAGTCCACCCTCTCCACACCCCGCTGGGCCTACAGTGCTACCTTCTCGATGGAGCTGATGGTGACACCGGCTGCACAGGACACCACGATGTGCCTATCCTCGATGTCAGCGCCTATCTCATCCAGGATGAAGGGGATGATGTGTGGCTTCACGGCCAGGAAGAGCACATCACTGTGCCGCACCGTCTCCTTGTTGTGGGGTGTCAGCTTCACCCCTATCTTCTGCGGGAGGCAACAAGTGGGCTCAGCATGGTCCTATGACTGTCTGCACCCCGACCAAGCCAAAGGCCCCACAGGTAGAATGGCACAGAGAATGCTGGATTTGGGGGTGGGCAGGGCTGGGGGCTCAGGGCTCTGACCACCCCCTCGATTACCCTTCCCACCCAGAAATTGAGGAAAAACTCTTTGTGGAATGTGTTCCTGTTGCAGACAGAAAAAGAGGCTCCATCCACGCCACTGCCCTGCCACCCGTCTCAGACCGCCGACCCAGACCCCTGCCCACCACGTGTGAGTGGTGGTCTCCAGTGGTGTGCCTGCCATCCCCAAGTGTGTTTTTTGGCTGCCAGGCTGTGGACCCACCTGCCAGGCCCCCAGCGGAGCCCTGCTCAAACTTTAACCCTGGGCAGGGAAACTGCATTCCAGAACAGCACCCTGCCATCAGCTGCACACATTCCCACCACCCAGCTCCCAGCAGCAATTGGCATGGTGAGGAGGCAGAAGACCCCAGCCCAGGGACCCTGCCCTCACTGGGGTGGGGGCTGCAGCCTCCTTCCTCCCTTCCACCTGCACCTACCCTGAGGGCAGAAACTGTGTCCAGGTCCATGTCTGGGGAGCTGGCCATTATCTTATGGGCAGCCAGGACGCCTGAGAGGAGAAAGAGTCGCTCTTCACGGCCAGTTCTGGCCTCTGTCCCTCCCCATTCCCAGGAAGGAGGGTAAGACAGCACACCTAAAGCCCCAAATACACACGAGCTGCCAGTTCCCGCAGGACTCAGGCCTTGAGACCTAGTCCCCCACATTCAGCCCCCAGCCCTGCAGAAGGGGAAAGAGGCCAGTCTCTCCCACTGGGCCTCACCGTCCCCCACCCAGGGGCCTACCTGCTGCTGTGAAGCCCTTGGCCAGGGCAAAAGCCAGCTGGCCAGCACCGATGAAGCCCACGCTCATGCTGTCCGGAGACCCCTGGCCGAAAGCCCCACAGTTGGCACCAGCTCTGCAGAGGCAGCTGCCGGACGAGACCGGCAGGATCAAGAGCAAGCTGGGGAGGCAGTGCCAGCATGGCCGCTGCTCCCACAGCCGCGTACCCACCTCCTTTGGTCCCAGCTGGTCTAACTTTCCACTTCGCTGCCCGTAGCCCCGACCCGTTAACGGCTCCGGGGCCCCTGGGCAGCGCGGCGATCCCCGGGCTGCTGCCGAGGGTCCTGCAGCCACTGGAGGGGTCGCGGCCCCGCAGAAGCGACCGGAGCGGGGTAAGCCCGGGGCGGGCCCGGCGCCCGGGGGTCTCCCGTCTTGGCTCCCACCCCGCGCGGACTGGGGGACCGCCGCGCCCCACCCGGTGGCCGCCGCCCACCGTCCCCAGCGCCGATCCCAGCCCAGCTACCCCGCGCTGGTCGTCCCGAGTCCGCCACGCGCGCCACGCGGCACCCACAACCCGGCCCCGCCCCCGTCGCGCGAGCGAATCCGGGCGCGGCCACGAGGCGCCGGCCAATCAGAGCGCGCGGCGGCGCCGGAGCGGTTGCATCATCCGCGCGCCCCTCCTACGCCGCCCGCCGGACCCGCCGCCCGCCCCGCGGACCCCAGCGCCCTGGCGGGCACCTCTCAGCACGCGCCCCTCCGCTTGCGGCCATACCCGCGCTTCTCCGAGTAGCGCTTCCCGGGACCTGCACCAGGGGTCTCAGGACAACGGCGGAGGGGGTCCGAGGGGGCCGCGTGGGAGGAGAGCCTGCGTGTCAGGGGAGCCCGCGCGTCAGGGGAGCCCGCGCGTCAGGGGAGCCCCCGTGTCAGGGGAGCCCGTGTGTCAGGGGAGCCCGCGCGTCAGGGGAGCCCGCGCGTCAGGGGAGCCCCCGTGTCAGGGGAGCCCGTGTGTCAGGGGAGCCCCCGTGTCAGGGGAGCGCGCGTGTCAGGGGAGCCCCCGTGTCAGGGGAGCGCGCGTGTGAGGGGAGCCCGCGCGTCAGGGGAGCCCCCGTGTCAGGGGAGCCCGCGCGTCAGGGGAGCCCCCGTGTCAGGGGAGCCCCCGTGTCAGGGGAGCCCGCGTGTCAGGGGAGCCCGCGCGTCAGGGGAGCCCCCGTGTCAGGGGAGCCCGCGCGTCAGGGGAGCCCCCGTGTCAGGGGAGCCCGCGTGTCAGGGGAGCCCCCGTGTCAGGGGAGCCCCCGTGTCAGGGGAGCCCCCGTGTCAGGGGAGCCCGCGCGTCAGGGGAGCCCCCGTGTCAGGGGAGCCCCCGTGTCAGGGGAGCCCCCGTGTCAGGGGAGCCCGCGCGTCAGGGGAGCCCCCGTGTCAGGGGAGCCCCCGTGTCAGGGGAGCCCGCGCGTCAGGGGAGCCCCCGTGTCAGGGGAGCCCGCGTGTCAGGGGAGCCCCCGTGTCAGGGGAGCCCCCGTGTCAGGGGAGCCCCCGTGTCAGGGGAGCCCGCGCGTCAGGGGAGCCCCCGTGTCAGGGGAGCCCGCGCGTCAGGGGAGCCCGCGCGTCAGGGGAGCCCCCGTGTCAGGGGAGCCCGCGCGTCAGGGGAGCCCCCGTGTCAGGGGAGCCCGCGCGTCAGGGGAGCCCGCGCGTCAGGGGAGCCCCCGTGTCAGGGGAGCCCGCGTGTCAGGGGAGCCCGCGTGTCAGGGGAGCCCGCGTGTCAGGGGAGCCCCCGTGTCAGGGGAGCGCGCGTGTGAGGGGAGCCCCCGTGTCAGGGGAGCCCGCGTGTCAGGGGAGCCCCCGTGTCAGGGGAGCGCGCGTGTGAGGGGAGCCCCCGTGTCAGGGGAGCCCCCGTGTCAGGGGAGCCCGCGTGTCAGGGGAGCCCCCGTGTCAGGGGAGCGCGCGTGTGAGGGGAGCCCCCGTGTCGGGGAGCCCGCGTGTCAGGGGCGCTCGTGAGGGGCACTCCATGCGAGGCTTTGTCGTTGGCTGCCTGGACAGGGACGCGTCCCGCTGGTGTCCCTGGGCGCAGGGCCGGCGCGCTCTGGTAGCTGCTCCCTTCCGCCGTGGAGTTCAGGGAAGCCCGGTGTTTTCTTTCCTTTCCTTTTTCTTTTTTCTTTTCTTTTTTTTTTTTTTTTTTTTTTTTGGTGGGGATAGGGTTGAAAATAATTTCCCAAGTGGAAGCACGTTGAATATATCACTATTTCGGCCACACGTGGTGGCTCACGCCTGTACTGCCCGCCCTTTGGGAGGCCGAGGCCCCGGATCACCTGAGGTCAGGACTTTGAGGCCAGCCTGGTCAACGTGGTGAAGCCCTGTCTCTACTAAAAATACAGAAAAAACAATTAGCTGGCTGTGGTGGCTCACTCCTGTGATCCCAGCCGCTGGAGAGGCTGAGGCAGGAGAATCGCCTGAACCTGGCGGGTGGGGAGGTTGCTGTGAGCTGGAATCAGGCCACTGCACTCCAGCCTCGGCCACAGAGCGACACTCCATCTCAAAAAAAAAAAAAAATGGGCTTGACAGTGCAGCCACGGGCACTACCATCTGGGCTTCCTCTAGCTGGGCACACGGTGGCGCTCCACCAGCAAACCCAGGAAACCGGCCCCATGTGGCAAGCCCCAGCTCCCGGGCTGCCCGGAGCATCCCCCAGTCCTGGAGCATCTTGCCTCCCCTGGGTTTTAGGGAAAGTGAAGCTCCAGTCACTTCCCCCTGAGGACATGCTGGGAGTTCATCCGAGCCGGGCCTTCGTGTAGGCCTCTGGATGGTCAGAGTTCCTGTAAGTGGCAACATTAACCGGCAAAGTCAGAAGTGATCACTGACAGCCCATCCCTGACAGGAGCTGCCTTATGTTTTTCTTTTTGTTGTTTTGAGATGGAGTTTCACTCTTGCTGTCCAGGCTGCAGTACAGTGGCGCAATCTCGGTTCAATGCAACCTCCGCCTCCCGGGTTCCAGCGATTCTCCTGCCTCAGTCTCCAGAGTAGCTGGGATTACAGGCATGTGCCACCACACCCAGTTAATTTTTTATTTTTAGTAGAGATGAGGTTTCTCCGTGTTGGTCAGGGTGGTCTCAGCTCCCAGCCTCAGGTGATCTGCCGGCCTCGGCCTCCTGAAGTGCTGGGATTGCAGGTGTGAGCCACCACGCGCGGCTGGAGCTGCCTTATGTTTTCTGTGCTGTTTCTCAGATAATGACCGGCTCTTCCAGCACGTTGTTTCAGAGGCCTGGGATGCTCCTGCAGCGGCGGCAGGGCTGCGCATTCTGGCTATCATCTGTCCACCCGGTCCCCCGTGTGGACACGTAATCACCACCACCAACACTGGGAGGCCTCTGTGTGGTGGCCACGGGAGGAGCTTGTCCAGATGGACAGCTCAAACCTGGGGCACGAAGCCTAGCGCTGCCACGGTGCTTTCAGATCCAGTTTCAAACTCACCTTATCACCAAGTGATAAAAGCAAGCGATGCTTTTACCTAAAAACCCAGCACTCACCAGGGACAGCCCTCTGGGCCCAGGATACACTGTCAACAGGACTGACTCTGAAGCAAGCTGCCCAGCCCTGGTCCCTCCCCTTCCTTTCTCTTCCTCAGGACTTTTGAGACTTAGGAATAGGTTGGTGGTGTGTTGCGGGCAGAAGGCCACCCGACAGGGAGGAAACCGGGAAGTTTCTGACAACTCATTTCAGAATTCTGGCCAGCAAAGAAAGGAGAGAAGGAGGCCAGGTCCCCCCAAGAGTGGCGTCCAGGTCTCCCCTGGAGTTAGGAGGCAGGTGGTCCCTGTGCCCCCTCCCCACCACCCTCAGCCAGCGACAGACCCCACAGCTGACTGCCCTTGTCTGGGATCTGCCACTGAGCCCAAAGCACCCACCGCTCTGAGTAAAGGACCCTGGTCAGACCCCGTTTGCTGCTAACACAAGCGAGCCCCTCCCCAGCGGCCCACGGAGCCCTTCCTCACGTCCTGGCAGCAGCACAGATGCGACTCTGGGGACCGCAGTCCAAAAGGAGCAGCAATGCATCTGTCTGCCTTCATGTCCAGGGCTCCAGAGATGCCCAGATGGGCGCGGGGGGAAGGAGGCGAGCGCTGAGGGCCTGGGGGAGAGATGGGCATGAGCCACAGGCCCGTCTGAGCCAGACTGGCCCGTCAGCCCTCCGAGGCAGAGAACACGGCCTGCCACATCCCCAGGAGGCTGCTCAGACCCTCAGAAGCCCAGCCTGCCCTTCACCGCAATCCCGGGACACACCCAGGGCCACTTCTTCAGCCTTCCCCCAGAGCACGCTGAGCGGGGTCGCCGGGAGCAGCAGGTGCCCGCGGCCCCTCAGAAGAGACTGCGGGGCCAGAGGCAGGGTGTGTCTAAACATCAGCATTTATTTCCTGCTCAAGGACATTGGGGCCTAGTCAATGGGCTGAGGGGCCATGGCCATCGCCCATCTGGCTTGGGCTCAGGGGTGGCCAGTGGGTCGGCTCCAGGCTGGTGGTCCAGGCTGGGCTGGGCTTCTGTGCAGGAGAAACTGGCTGGAGCGTGGAGGGTGACAGCCCCGGTGTCAGGAGTGTCTGGCAACTGGACCCTTGAGCAGAGGCAAGCAGTGCCCAGACTCTGTGTCCAGTGGCCGCCCTCAGCCGGGCTCCCTCCCAGTGCCACAGGTGCCCACCGGGCCACAGCTGGAGCTGCTTTGCCACAGCTGATGATGGGTGTCTGGGTGGGGCTCCTGTGGCTGGGGCAGAACCATCTCCTTCCCGCACACGGTGCACTTGGTGCCACCGGCCTCTAAAGGCTCTTCCCGGCCACCTGCGCCATCTCCAGCCTGCGGACACCGGAGGCAGCCTGGTTCCACCATAGTACAGTCTTAATTCTGGTTCCAAAGGCTGTGGCCACTAGCCCAGAGGCTTCCCAAAGTTGAGTGGGAGAGGCTGGTCCAGATTTCTGGCGTCTTGTCTGTGAGCTGGCACAGCCCCCCAAGCAGACCTCTCCTCCCAGGGTTCTGGGAGCTGCCCCTCCCAGCCAGGAGGTGGTTCCGGCTCCCTGTGCCCCTCCCTCCCCTTGCCTGGCCCAGGTGCTCTCCTGGGTTTGTCTCCTCTGGAAATCATTCCTTTTTCAGCTTGCCTTAGCCAGCCTGAGCGTGGTCTCCAGACACTACTGGAAGTACTGGGTGCCTCGCAAATCCTTCCAGCCTAGTGTCCCCAGCTGCAGAACGGGTCACAGCAGCAGCTGCTTTAAGGTTTTCCCTGTGTTGCAGTGACCAGCACTGAGCTCCAGGAGTGCTGGGAAGTGGTGAGAGAGCTAGCTGCGGATTGGCCAAGGGGAGGCTCTCCCTGCCTCTGCCCTGGGCCTCTGCCCTACTGCCCTGCCCCGTCCGTCTGTCCTTCTGTGAGCCCACCCTGGAAGTCGGGGAGCGACCTCTCCCAATGCACTGCATGTACTCTGAGCTCTTGGCTTCCCTTCTGCTCACTACTTGACACCTTGGTTCACCTGAGTCCCCCTCGAGGGGCCTGGAGATGCTGGCCAGAGAGTAGAGGTGGGCAGCTGCTGCTGTGGGCTACAGGCTGGGCACGAAGCGAATCCTCTGGGAGTAGGCAAGGTCGATGATGTACAGGAGCAGGTTGATGTAGGTGAAGATGGCCACCACCAGCTGGCTGTCCCAGGGACAGCTGCCTTGAGCGCAGTCGGGGGGCCGTCCAGGCTCGCCGTACTTGGGATCGAAACAGAAGACTGGCCAGATCACAGCAGCGCTGAGGTACAGGAGCACAGCCAGGAAAGTGTACACCACCACCAGCCGGTCAAAGGGGCAGCCCAAGCCCCCCGTGTGGCCCATCACACTCAGGACCACCACGGCCACCGTGGCCAGGAAGCAGAGGCTGTAGACGGCTACGCACCACTGGGTGGCCACATAGCGCCCATAGCGGCCGTCGTAGACCAGCGCCCCGAAGATGATGCAGGCCACAAAGGCCTGGACGATCTTAAGCAGCCCCGACATGGTGGCCATGTAGCTGGTCACCTGGCCAGGCCGAGCCCGCGTCAGGGCCACCTCCACAGCGTAGGCCAGGAAGAGGAGTCCGGCAAAGACGCTGGCTGCCAGGCGGAAGTCCCTGGCAGCACAGCCCCCGGGCTTGGGTGGGCATTCCCACTGGGCGAAGTACAGCGGATACAGTACCGCAGCTGTGGCGCACAGCAGGGTGGCCAGCATGGCGAAGGCAGCCGTGAAGTTGCCCCAGGAGAGCCGGAGGCAGCCATGGAGTCTTGTGAACTCGCAGGCCACCACCAGTGCAGAGACAGCGAAGCAGAAGCCCCAGGCAGCCATGCAGAATGTGCCCTGGACGCCCGCAAAGCCGCCCCGGTGGGCCACCAGGCTGAAAGTGGTGCAGCCAAAGGCCAGCTGCAGCACGCGGGCCGTACCCACGGGGGACATCACAGCGCCCAGGTGCAGGTACGCACCCTGAGGGGGCTCCATGCTGCTGCCCATGTGGGCGGCCACGTTACCAGCTCACACAGTGCCCCAAGGCCCTGGGGTCCCTGCTGGGCCAAGGCCCCTCAGTCCCTTGCGGTAGTGGTAGATGCCCGCAGCCTGCAGAGGCGGTGAGGACGGTGACTGCAGCAGGGCAGCCTCTCTGCTGCCTATGTGAGGCGGCCCCCTAGCCCTATAAATAGACAGCCGTGATCAGAGCCCCAGAATAGTAGCCCACGTGCCTGTCCCAATCTTAGACATTTGACCCCTGGTCCCCTGTGGAGCCCCTGCCAGGACCATTAACCCATAGGCTGCTGGCGTCACCCCACCTCCGCCTCCCCGCCTCCCGCCTCCCGCCTCCCGCCTTCCACGCACCTGCATCTGTCAGTCTGGTCAGCTGATTGCAGGCTTGTCGGGGAGGGGAGGGAGATGGAGGAGAGAAGAGAACAAGAGGGTCCCCATGGGGTAACCCAGCTCCAACAGCCTGCAGGGCCAGCCGCACGGGGGAGGGCGCAGGAGGCAGGAAGGCGGCAGGTAGGGATCCCGGGCCCCTGGGGATTTTCCCCAACATTTACCCCACCCCTTCCGGACAGCAGTATGGTTCAGAGCCTGCGCGGGCTTCAGGACCCTGCTGCCATTGCCCGGGCCTCACAGGGCTCTGCTGCGGCGGTGGGGGGAGCAGAGCATGGAGACCCTGGCTTCTACTCCTCAAGGTCCCCCCTCCCCACCCTCATTCCATCTAGTCCCTAACCTGCCTGGAGCAGAGACATTTGACTGTTAGTTCTTGTCTGCAGGGATCAATTCAGAGCTCTTCACTTGTCCTTCACATTAAACACCTAGAAAAACACTCAACTCTCCTTTTTTTTGAGACAGAGTCTCACTCTTTTGCCCAGGCTGGAGTGCAGTGGTGTGATCTCGGCTCACTGTAACCTCTGCCTTCCAGATTCAAGAGATTCTCCTGCCTCAGCCTCCTGAGTAGCTGGGATTACAGTGCCTGCCACCATGCCCAGCTAATTTTTGTATTTTTAGTAGAGACAAGGTTTCACCATGTTGGCCACGCTGGTCTCGATCTCTTGACCTAGTGATCCTCCTGCCTCAGCCTCCCAAAGTGCTGGGATTATAGGCATGAGCCACTGGACCTGGCCCCCACCTTTTTTTTTTTGGGGGGGGGACAGGGTCTAGCTCTGTCACCCAGGCTAGAGTACAGCGATGAGAACATGGCTCACTGCAGCCTTGACCTCCCAGGCTCAAGTGATCCTCCTGCCTCAGCCTTTTTATTTATTTATTTAATCACCTTCAATCACTCCCAATTCCATTTTTAAGCTAAAATATGAAACGTTTTTGAAAAAGAAAAAAGATTTCTTACTAAATTTCGTACGTGCTCTGGCCCAATCAATACAGGAAAAGAGAAAGAAAAATTGCCTCTAATTCCGTTACCTGAATTCAACCACTTTGAACATGGTCCAGTATATCCTTATAGGTATTTCCTGAACTTTTTAGTTAGAAAAAAAAAAAAAATCCACAGAAGGGCTGCAAAATAGCACAACAAACATTCATATACCCTTCACCTAGATTCAAAAGTCATTGAGGTTTTGTCATGTCTGAGCTCTCTCTCCCCCCAGACACCTCATTAATTACTTAATTAATTAATTCTGCAAATATGACGATGCAACCCTAGATTCCACAGACCCGGTCTTCCTAAGAGCAAGGCTGGCCAGGCACAATGGCTCATGCCTATGATCCCAGGACTTTGGGAGGCTGAGGAGACGGATCACCTGAGGTCAGGAGTTCAAGACCAGCCTAGCCAACATGGTGAGCCTCCATCTCTACAAAAAATATAATTAGCTGAGCATGGTGGCGGGAGCCTGTAATCCAAGCTATTTAGGAGGCTGAGGCAGGAAGAATCTCTTGAACCCAGGAGGCGGAGGCTGCAATGAACTGAGATCTTGCCACTGCACTCCAGCTTGGGTGAAAGAGACTCCTTCTCAAAAGAAAAAGAACAGGATTAGCCAGGCACAGTGGCTCATGCCTGTAATCCTAGCACTTTGGGAGGCTGAGGTGGGTGGATCACCTGAGGTCAGGAGTTCAAGACCAGCCTCGCCATCATGGTGAAACCCCATCTTTAAAAAAAAAAAAAAGAACAGGTCTATTCCTCCAGAGAACCTTAGCACACTGACACATTCCAGAAATTTAAGAATGATCACAATACAATACAGGGTTTATAGTCCGTTTTTCCCACCTGTCCTCAAAATGCATGTTACAGCTTTTAAACGTTTTTCATGAAGCTCTCATTAGGGATTATGCATTGCGTGTGGCTGTCGTGCCTCTCAGGGGGCTGTGTTCTCAAATTGTCTCCACTTTTATTTTTTATTTATTTTTTTTTTTAATTTTTTTTTTTGGAGACGGAGTTTTGCTCTTGTTACCCAGGCTGGAGTGCAATGGCGCGATCTCGGCTCACCGCAACCTCCGCCTCCTGGGTTCAGGCAATTCTCCTGCCTCAGCCTCCTGAGTAGCTGGGATTACAGGCACGTGCCACAATGCCCAGCTAATTTTTTTGTATTTTAGTAGAGACGGGGTTTCACCATGTTGACCAGGATGGTCTCGATCCCTTGACCTCGTGATCCACCCGCCTCAGCCTCCCAAAGTGCTGGGATTACAGGCTTGAGCCACCGCGCCCGGCCCACTTTTATTTTTTCACTCTGTCAGTCTCACTCTGTCAGACAGTCTCACTCTGTCACCCAGGCTGGAGTACAGTGGTACAATCACCACTCACTGCAATCTTGAACTCCTGCCCTCAAGCCATCCTCCCACCTCGGCCTCCTCAGTATGTGAGACTATAGTTTCAAGTCACCACTCCTGGCTAATGTTGGTATGTTTTGTAGAGATAGGGTCTCTCTGTGTTACCCAGGCTGGTCTCTATCTCCTGGCCTCAAGCAATCCTGTCACCTCAACCTGGCACATGTCTGGGATTACAGGCATGAGCCAACCAGTACACCCAGCCTCCATTATTTTTTCGAGATGGAATCTCGCTCTGTCGCCCAGGCTGGAGTGTAGTGGCACAATCTTGGCTCATTGCAACCTCTGTCTAGCAGGTTCAAGCGATTCTCCTGCCTCAGCCTCCCCAGTAACTGGGACTACAGTCGCCTGCCACCATGCCTGGCTAACTTTTGTATTTTTAGTAGAGATGGGTTGCCATGTTGTCCACGCTGATCTCAAACTCCTGACCTCAAGTGATCCGCTCACCGTGGCCTCCGAAAGTGCTGGGATTACAGGTATGAGCCACCACACCCGGTCACTTTTTAAAATTTTTTTATTATTTTATTTTATTTTATTTGAGACAGGGTCTTGCTCTGTTACTCAGGCTATAATGCAATGATGAGATCTCAGTTCCCTCTAATTTCTGCCTCCCGGGTTCAAGCAATCCTGCCACCTCAGCCTTCCAAGTAGCTAAGACAATAGGTGTGTGCCACCACGTCTGACTAATTTTTTGTATTTTTTGTGGAGACAGTTTTGCCATGTTGCCCAAGCTGGTCTCAAACTCCTGGAGGAATAGCTGGGATTACAGGTGCCTGCCACCACACCCAGCTAATTTTTGTATTCTTAGTACAGATGGTTGGTTTTGCCATGTTTGCCAGGCTGCTCTGGAACTCTTGACCTCAGGTAATCCACCCACCTCAACCTCGCAAAGTGCTGGGATTATAGGCGTGAGTCATTGTGCATGGCCACACTTTTTTTTAATTTGAAACAGAGTCTCACTCTGTTGCCCAGGCTGGAGTGCAGTGGCCTGATCTCAGCTCACTACAACCTCTGCCTCCCGGGTTCAAGCAATTCTTGTGCCTCAGCCTCCCGAGTACCTGGGATTACAGGCACCTGCCACCATACCCAGCTAATATTTGTATTTTTAGTAGACCTGAGGTTTTACCATGTTGGCCAGGATGGTCTCAAACTCCTGACCTCAGGCAATCTGCCCTCCTCAGCCTCCCAAAGTACTGAGATTACAGACGTGAGACTATGCCTGGCCAATTTCTTCGTATATTTAAGAGCCAGGGTTTTACAACTCTGACCAGGCTGGTCTCAAATTCCTAGACTCAAGCAATCCTCCTGCCTTGGTTTCCCAAAGTGCTGGGATTACAGATGTGACCGACAGCACCCAACCTCATTTTATTTTATTTTATTTTTTTGAGGCAGAGTTTCACTCTTGTTGCCCAGGCTGGAGTGCAATGGCGTGATCTCCGCTCACTACATACAACCTCCACCTCCCGGGTAGAAGGGGTTCTCCTGCCTCAGCCTCCAGAGTAGCTGGGATTACAGGTGTGCTCCATCATGCCTGGCTAATTTTGTATTTTTAATCCAAAATGTGTTTATTGAGATGGTGTCCCACTCATCTTGATTCAGAGTGCTTTTAGTGCTGCTTCCTCCTGAAAGAACATCCTTCTGTAAGCCTTGCTTTTCCTCCTGTAGGCTGGCAGAGGACAGTGGAGCAGCCAACACATAAAATACCGTTTGTTCCTGGCTAAGACCATGGTGATGTTACAGCGTCCCGAGCATTTCACATCCATGAAGCAGGAACTGGGGCTCTGCACCAGGCATTTCTTCCTGTGTTTCCTCTTCTCCTCTTCTGGAGAGGGATGAATGATCCTTTGTGAGAGGCATGTTCTTGTGAGTAGGTCATCACTGCCGGATAATTTTGTATTTTTAGTAGAGACAGGATTTCTCCATGTTGGTCAGGCTGGTCTCAACCTACTGACCTCAGGCCACCCACTTGCCTTGGCCTCCCAAAGCGCTGGGATTACAGGCGTGAGCCACTGTGCCGAGTCCTGAATGCTCTATTTTAGTATGATATTAACTGTTCTGGAAACATCATAAAGGTCTTGGAGAGGATGACCAGAATGCCTCTGTGTTTAAAAGGCGGGGGTGGGTGTTCATGGAGAATACTGCCTACTAGAACCATCAACAGACACTAGGACCAGCAGGGAAGACTACCGAGGAACAAGTAACCCACCCACAGGTGGGGCCTCACCTGTTCTGGGTGCTGCTGTCACATGAACGTCCCTTGCCTGGTTCTGCCTGAAGCAGCCAGCTTGGACTCTGTGAGGAAAGAGTCAGACGATACACATTGAAAGGTGATCTGTAAAGCCATCAGTCTGGACCCTTCAAAACGTCAGCATTATAAAATATTTTTTGAAGTGTGTGGCACTATTTTAAAAAGGCTGAGGCACAAGAATGACTTGTGCCCAGGAGACCGGGGTAGCAGTGAGTGAGATCGTGTGACTGCTCTCCAGCCTGGGCAACAGAGTGAGACTTAGTCTCAAAAAAGAAAAACAAAAATGAGCAATGATTTGGATGCTGAGAGAATTAGGAATGAAAATAGCAAAAACAAAAATTTACAAGTGTGTGGCAAGAGGCAACAAGAAAAAAAATTAAAAATAAATTTAAAAAAAAGGCTGGGCACGGTGGCTCATGCCTTTAATCCCAGCAGTTTGCGAGGCCAAAGTGGGTGGATCACGAGGTCAGGAGTTCAAGACCAGCGTCA